GTTTGACATTTTTGGTTGGTGGTGTGCCTCGGGATTTTTTCTATGAAAAAATGTACCTTGGCTCAAAAAAGGTTGAAAAACACTGCACTAGTGTGCCATGAGTGACGGTCAGGCACCTGATTGGTATAAAAATATTTTTCTATAACGAATTGATTATCTGCAAATAATATGCCATTTTCGAGTGTCTGTCTTGTAGTAGTGACTGGCGGCGTGATATTGTAATAATTCCTTATGAATAGTTGGCAGCAGGTAGCAAATTGCATAGTACATGTTGCATGAATGTGACAGGAAGCAGTGAGAGCATTTTGGCTAGCATTGTTTAACATTTTTGGTTGATGGTGTGCTTCGGGATTTTTTTAATGAAAAAGATGTACTTTGGGTCAAAAACGGTTGAAAAACACTGAGATAGAGTCTCAAAATGTTCAGCTCCTTCAGCAATATGCAGCTACGAATTTTGGTTTTCAAATCTTTTCAACTTTTTAAGTTATTGAACTTTTTTTTCTTTTATTTTCTCTCATTGAAATGAATGGAGTCAAAAGCATGGCGCCATCTGCTGGTCACTGGCATTTCAGCCCTTTAAACTTTTGTTTTTTATTTTTTAGTTATATGGAGCCTTTCCTACTGGGTTATGGCTAATGATAGAGTGTTTGACTCCAGTTTGAAAAGTCGCTGGTTCAAATCCCATTAAAGTCTTAAAGATCCTTTTGCCATTCTTCTTCAACTCTTCAGTTCTATGTCTTTTTCAGCCTTTTTTTGGCTTCTTCTTCTTCCTCCACTCAGCACTTGGCATTCTCACAGCTGTTCCACAGTAAAAGCCTTTTTCTAGTTACAGTTAGGGCACTAAGCTTATTAAAACATGGAAAAAGTGCGTGTGTTTGCTCAGAAAGGGAAACAAATTGGTTGTCATTTGTGGTTTCTTCATTTCGCTGATGAGTAAGTTTATTGTTATGTGATAAGGTACGAAATAGATTAACCCTTTAATGCCTGATCCAAGAAAAATGGGAAGAATATTGGATTATTTTAGTCTGAAGTCTTTCTTTGGCCCCTCAACAACATATGAATAAAAAAAACAGAAATTATTTTGATCAAATTAGTGTGCAATCAGTCAAAAATATATGTTGGTGTAGTCTTCTACTGGCTGTTATCAGGTATATCTGAATGTGTACAACAGGGGTTTGAGCAAACCTTTTACCACTGAATGATCCAAAAAGTCTCAGATCCATAAGACTTTAGAAACCGTATCAGATATGACACATTTGGCATTATAGGGTTACCTAGAAATACATTTTCCATCACAAATAAGGCCTAAAGACAAAGCCATTTCTATCCCTTCTCTCCACTTTTGCAACCAGATGAATTTACTTTGTATATCGAGCACTAATAATGTTTCCAGAGTCTCTCCACAGTTTCTGAGGTCTGCTGGCAGCTGCACAGGATGAAGCATATGCCACAAATCGAATGCTGCCATGACTCACAGTAGCTATTTTCAGGACCGTCCCACAGTGCTCTCAGCCCCTTTATTCTCCGTCTGAACGGTGAACGGGGACACTAGAAGTTTGAGCCCGTCCACTGGCATAAATATTGCTGCTATCTGCCTTTAAAGGCGACATATCATGCAAAACCAAGTCTTTAATCATTTGATTGTGTACATTTGGGACTGTGGAGGGCCTATCATCAGGAAAAGTGTGAAAAAAAAATTACTCAGTCATGTTTTTGTGGGCTGCCTCAGTCTGAATCCAGGAGATAAATCAGGAGGTTTCAGGAGTGGGTAGTTTCTGACGTCATTAGCTCTAGCTCATTATAATATTCCAGCCTTTCACCTGCATGTTGCCCCCCCCCACTCAGCTTATTCCCCTATCTGTAGAGACGTGGTGGTAGCATGGTAGCGTTAGCATTGTAGCGTTAGCATGGTAGCGTTGGTGTGTTGTCATGGTGTGTTGTCATGGTAGCGTTAACATGGTAGCGTTAACATGCTAGCGTTAGCGTGCCGACGTGGGCACACCTCCCTGAAGAAGTGGGTGGATTGCCTGTGTCTCATTTGCATTTAAAGAGACAGGCACTCCAAAGCGAGCGCTCTGAACGGGGCTGTTTTGGGTTAGGGTTAGGGTTAGGGTTAGGGTTAGGCAGGGGGACTGAACTGCTATTGGGCTTCATCCTTATGGGATTTTGACCAAAGCTTGTCACAGACATTACATCAGGACACCAGGGAACTAGGTTAACTTGTTGAAATAGGGTACAATACGTCTCCTTTAAAAGAGGGTTAAGTTCAACCTGAAAGGGGTCAAACGTTGGTCTGTGAACCCAGTTCTTCCAGTGGAAGCCTGAGAATAAAAACCAGACTCTGTTTTTGTCACGTCTGGGTGAATGTCTGGTGTCTCGTCATGTCTTCCTTGATTACCTATTGTGTACACCTGGGGTTCCCCTCCTTCATGTTTTTAAATATTCCTCCTTTCCCCTCGTCTTGTGCGAGTGTAAGAGAGAGTTTTGCACTTCATTCACAGTTTTGTTTTTGCCTCGTTCACGAGAGATTTGATTTAATACTTTCTTCATCGTCTTGTTTACTTGATTTAATACTTTGTTCGTAGTCGTGTTTACTTGTTTTGAACCTTGTCTTGTTTCCACTCCTTTTGAGTGCGTTTTTTGTTAATTAAAACCCTTTTGAACCGACCCCTCCGCCACTGAGTCCTCCCTGTGATCCACCCTTTGTCTGTTTGGGCTTATTGTGTAATGTCCTCTGGATTTGTGTGATTGGGGGTTGATGTGATTGGCCGGTGAGCTGTGATGTAACTGGGACTGGGAGACGTGGTCACGTTGTGCTCAGTCTCTAATGCAGCAGGATCAGATTCAGGACAGGTTTTAGGACGAGTACTTTTTAAATAATCAGACTAATGATAAACGCCTATTCTGATAAATCATGTGTCCTCTGTAGTTTTTCATTAGCTGTTTATCACACAGTAAACTAAGGTTCTTCAAACAGAACAGAGCGTTAAGATGCTTTGAACTAATGCTACCTGACAAGAAAGCTGTCTTTATATAATTAAATATAATTATATAATAATAATATGAATATATAATGTGATTAATATATGGTATTTAATTAATGTATTCATTAAAAATCCTAAAACGATTGATTAGTTCTGAATAAGGCCTGAAGATAAAAGGACTGTGTATAAACAGAACACCTCTATCTATCTATCTATCTATCTATCTATCTATCTATCTATCTATCTACAGTGTCTGCAGTAGTATGAGTTATGTTATTGTTATTATGTTTTTACACTCACTTTTTAATGCATTATCTTTTATTAAAAGTACTTTTGAGTTCTATAAGTTCTATAAAAAGATTCAGTGTAATTATGACATTGACCAGTTGACGTTGATTATCTTTAGTAAATCGATTAAAACCAAACATCAGAGGTGTTTTTGTAAGCAATTTAATAACAATTCAGGTAGGTAAACAAACATCTGAATGAGCGGACATCGTCCGTTTGAAGGAAGGTAACAGTGGAAAACGGCCCAGGAATAAATAAGTGATGTCATGCTAAGTATAAATGACTAAAACTGTGTCTGTGCAACTGGGATGGAGTCACTCCAAAAAATGGGAATTCATCCACTGTGCTGAGTCTAAACCTAAACAATAAAACACACAACATGGAGACAAAAGTGGGAATAAATAAAGTCTGTGGTCCCACAACAGCTAGGACGGTCAAATATGTCAAACAACGGCACAAATGCTTAAGCTGAACTCTAAATTTGCTTAAATAAGTAAGAACGCACCAAACCCTTTCACACCCTGCTTCGATAGAATTCATCTATAGATTGAAAAATACTTTTTCACACCGAGAGGGAAAATAAAATACTTACTGTACAAGAAATAACATCTAACTTGGAATTTGAGAAGTTTGCTCCAGTCCCATTATGTACAACCCCAAGAAAAGCTCCCACAATTCATTCGTGTGTCTTCCAAAACACGGTTAATTAAAAAAATTGAACAACTTCCAAGATACTGATAACCAATTCGGATGGTAAGAAAACGGTAGAAAAATAAAGTACCAGCAATTTTCAAGATTAAAAGACCAAATGCCCTTGATTGTTTTTTTTGTTTTTTTTTCTTAAAATCTCCACGCAAATGGGAGCAAATCCACAAAAGCTGCATCCTGGACGGCTCAAAAGACTCTGATTCTGCTCAAAACTCCAGTTTGTTCGGTAGGAAAGGGGGGGCACTCGGGCTGGAACTGGACCTGCTGAGGTAAAACAGTGCTATGGACACAGAAGAAAGGAGGAATACGGGCGGAGATGTGGATCCAGATCTAAAGAGAGAGAGGAAAGAAAAAGATGTTTAGTGGATTTTATTAGCGAATCAAATAAAAAATGATGCTGTGATTGCTCAGAGGAAAACCTGCTGATGTAAAGAAATAATTTATTATGTTCCTAACAATCTGGATGTGAGTCAGGAGCTGAGGAATAGTTTGAAATATTGATGAATTTGTGAAAATATATATTTGATGAAAAATTAAGCAAAGAAAGGTTAAAGAAAATGTTTACTATTGAAACACATGCCAGCAGTTCTCCCCCCAAAAAAATTAATAATAATACTATATATTAAAGAGAATAAATAATAATATAAACAATTAAACAATTAAATAATTAAATGATTAAATAATTAGATAATGAAATAATTAAATGTTTAAAAAATTAAATAAATAAATAAATAAATAAATAAATACATAATAATAAACATTATTGATTAATAAGAATACATAATCATTACCATGTTTTAAAAATAACTATTATACTAACATTATGTAATAATAATAATAATAATAATAATAATAATAATAATAATAATAATAATAATAATAATAATAATAATAATGATAAATAATTTTGAATAAATTATAATAATAAACATGGAAGGTAAAAAAAAAACCCTGTAGAGCTCTGAAAATGTAAATTTAATTGGCGTGTGATCCCGGTTTTCTGTGGACCGGCTCACCTTCTCATTCGGGGGTGATCTCCGTCTCCTGGTGCACCACCACTTTGGTGACGGACATGTCCGGGTGCTGCTCCTTCGCCTCCTTGATGGCCTGAGCCAAAGCCTGCAGGAGGGAGCACAGCTCAGCATCCCACCCCGGCTGCTAAAGGAGCCCCCAAACACGCATCCATCCCTCAATTAAATCCAATTCAATTTTATTTCTATAGCGCCACATCACAACAACAGTCGTCTCACAGCTTTCCAAACAGAGCAGGTCAGACCCTACTCTGAAGTTAATTACAGAAACCCAACAATTCCCACCATGAGCAATCCCTCCAGTCCGCCTTAAAGCGGAGAACCAGAGCAGCCTGTGTCTCTACATAGTTTCTATACAAAAAAACAACTGTCAAAGCTCTTTCTTTTCACACACTGTAGGTGCTTGAATCTAACTTAACCCTGTAATGTCAAATGTATCATATCTGATTCATACTGTTTCTGAAATGTTTTGCGTCTGACACCTTTTGCATAATTTAATGGTAAAAACTTTGCTCAAAATCCTATTGT